AATGCCATCTCGTTGAAAACTTTTTACTCAGTAATATTTCGTTCGACATAATGAGTTAATATAGATCGCTTTGCCATATACGTCCTCATATTACACCAACCGTGTTTATTCGTCTTTCAAAGGAAGTAGTCGAAAACAGGTAAGCAGGATTCAAATAATTCTATTTACAGGTGATATGAAATTAAGAGATGCTCAAACAGACTTGTTTTTATCGCACTTTTTATCCTAAACTTGAAAGTTTCTGGCAAAGTCTGATTTACGAAGTTGTAATTTTAAATTCGTTTTTCAGATGAAAGCTTCATATTTATCGTTAAATGTCCCCGGGTATCATCGTAAATTGGAACGTTTTTATTAAAACGCACAATTTTCTGTTGAACATAATATTCATTTATAGATAGTCGATCAAAATGAAACTAGGTTATAAAAGAGTCATTTACAGTGAATTGGAAATATTCAAACTGTTCCTCCATTTGTCAGCTGATAAGATGTGGTAAAAAAGGTTGTGTATTAGATGAGCTAATGCACTGAAATAATGGTTAGAAGCGGAATCAGTAAAGGTTCGTGCAAAAAAAAAATAATGGCGGTTAAGATTATTTTATAAACAAATATACTTGTAAAATATCCGTTTTGCAGATCGTCAAAAAAGACATTACATCAAGTGCAGGTTCGAAACATCCGGAATGTTACGTTCAAAATTATTCATAAATTTTAAAATCTTTATTTTGAGGAATAAATTTGTTTTCGTAAACATATATATATATATATATATATATATATATATATATATATATATATATATATATATATATATATATATGTGTGTGTTAGTTTCTTGTTAGTTTCTTGTATAAAAGAAACACACATACATATGTATATATATGTACATATAAATATATATATATATGCACATATAAATATGCATATGTGTATATGTACATATGTATATATATGTATATATAAATGTATATATATGTACATATAAATGTATATATATATGTACATATAAATGTATATATATATATATATATATATATATATATATAAAGTTTATTCAAATATTATTAATAAAAACGTATTGAAATAGTAACTTTCATCTTCAATGGCTGCAGCTCAATGGGAAAAATGTTCGATTCCACTTTTAAAGCATCTTGCGTTTTCCCGAAAATAAAAAACGGTTGAAAGCCTGTTTCCAATGTTTTTCTTAATAATGTTCTTGCTCTTATGAAATATTCTAGCGATGGAAGCAAAGGAAGATCTACAGTTGCTAAATCTGATGAGAGTGGAGGATGAGAAATTAACTCCCCATCCGAGGTTGTTGTTTTAACTTGTTTGCTTTTCCTTGTGGAAGAATAACACATGTTCTGTTTACCAGGTCAGGACACTTTCGACGCGATACTTCGTTTGCATAGTCTTTTTTTTTCGTCAATAAACTTCTGCATTGATGGTCCTTCCATGTTCCCTAGCTTGTAATAGACAACACCTTCCATATTTCACCAGACAAAACCAAACTCTTCTATAGATGGATTCCTAGTTTTTGTGTTCTTACTGATTTCTCATTTCCTGTCTGTTTTGTTTTCTGTTAACATGTAAAACACATTTTTCATCACCTGTAACAATGCGATGTAAAAGTGAAAGCTTGGCATTCCTGGTTAAAAGATTGCTGCCGATGGTGTTGAAGTAATCGAAACAAATGAATATCTGAAAGTGTTCAATCTGGGGGAGTAAAAGTAATATGAAGGGTTGTACAAGGGATGGGGAGGGGAGTACAAGTAATTTTAAGGGAAGTACAAGGGATGTAGAAATACCTCTCATCCTAACGATCTTATCTTGGATTTGATTTGCATGATGTGGCCTTGCATTGTCTTGCTGGATGATAAAACCTTTCTTATTTATCAAAGCAGGCCACTTTCGAGGTAATACTTTGTTTATCCGATCAAATTACAGGCAATAAAAAAGCTCACTTTTCGGATTACATCAGACAAAAAGTAAGAACGTTTGTTAAAGTAATTCTTCGTTGTTTTTTTTTCTTTGTGTGTGTGTGTGTGTGTGTGATGGCACTGGTTCCTTCTTTTTTTGATAACCATTTTACTTTTCTTATTTGTTTATTTACTTTTTTATATTAATGTAATGATTACTTATTATTTTATTTTAACTTGATCATTTATTTATTTATTTGAAATAATTTATATTGTTGATTCATCCACATTTTTTTTCACTTTTATGGTCATCCGCAAATCTGTTTGTGCGTGTGCATGTTCGTAGTTCTGTGTGTGCATGTGTGTGTATTTGTGCATATAAAAATAAAGCTACTTTAATTGAATGTTTGAAACGTGTAAAACGTCAGTATTATAGAAAATTGAGTTATTAATATTTACATAGAAATACTTAAATTATGGTTGTGCACTTTGCAGCAAGGACAGTCTAAAGAGTTTTCAATTCACATTTCTTTAATCCTTTAATCACAAGCAAGGTAATAAAGCAACTAAGACGCATGGGGGTTACTGGGTGTTAACGAATGTAAGGAAAAGAAAACATTATTAAGGAGCAAGAACTATAAACGAAAAGTAACTAAGAAAATAGAAGATAAGGATTGCATTTAAATATTTGAAGATCAAATTTGCCTGGAAAGTAAGAAGTCGGAAGAGAATTCCACAACCGAGAAGTGCGAGTAAAAAAAAACTGTTAGCAAGAATTTACAGTCGAAATGGCTACATGTATGTAGCCATTTCAACTGTAAAGAATGATACCTTGAGAAACTACTCTCGTCTAATCGTTTCGAAGAACAATTTTTGCCTTCCATCAGCATGATTGCATGCAAACCTAACTGCGAACTTTTCCTACTGAGATGAAGTTGAAAGAGTAGATTAATTCAATCGCTAAGTCATCAGATAGAAAAGTTGGTTCACTGTGTCGAGCTAGACAATTTTTTTCTCGCCAGAATCTATCTTACATATTCATAAGCGTTGTAGCGTCCACCCTCTAAATAGCCTATGTTGGTCTCTTCCGCCTACTATGAGATTAGTAGGGAGAAGGCCTTGGGAGAACGGTGATCCAAACCGTTCATGAATGTCAAACTCTCGGAGAGGAACTCAGACGAAGATTTGCCGAAGGGCAAGGTTTCGTCCGGGGAGGTAGACAGGCCCTGAACCCGTTTACACGAGTTCTAAGGGAATATTTTTGGCCGAGCCTACGGGCTCTGAAAATCCATAATAAACCGCCCTTGTGCCACATACAACCCACGTGGGGATGCCCGTTAAATATAACAGTGTTAAACTGTTCATCTGTCGAACTCTCTGCCTTGAGCATAGAGGAACTCGGATGAGGCTTTGCTGAATGGCAAGGTTTCGTCCGGGGAGGTAGACAGGCCCTGAACCCGTTTAGGCGTGTTCAAAGGGAATATTTCTGGTTGAGTCTACGGGCTCGGAGAAACTACAATACACCGGTCTTGTGCCACATGCACCCTCGTGGTGGGGTTGTTAAATATTAGCAGTGCTAAACTGTTCATCTGTCGAACTCTCTGCCTTGAGCAGAGAGAAACCGGGATGAGGATTTGCTGAAAGGGCAGAGTTTTTTCCGGGGTGGTAGACAGTCCCTGAACCTGTTTAGGCGGGTTCAAAGGGAATATTTTTAGCCAAGCCTACGGGCTCGGAAAACGCACGGTAAACTCGGCCTTGAGCCACATACATCCCTCGTGAGGGGGTGTTAAATATTAATAGTCGCCTAGATTGTTCGTAACTGTCGAACTCTCTGCCTTGAGCCGACAGGAACCCGGACGAGGCTTTGCCGAAGGGCAAAGTTTCGTCCGGTTAGGTAGACAGACCCTGAACCCGCTTATGCAGGTCCTACGGGAATATTTTTTCCGGGCCTACGTGCTCGGAAAACACACGGTAAACTCGGTCTTGGGCCATATATATCCCTTGTAGGTGGGGGTCTGTTAAATATAACAGTCGAAGAGATTGAACGCTGGGTCAGCCGACACACACACACTAGTCATGTGATGCTCTTATGTTGTACTTTATGTTTAATATATGATGTATTTGTAACACTTTTTTATTTCTTTAACTATTTACTTGGTCACAACAATAAGTCTAGCATTCGTCCTTGCTTTAAACATTGCTGTCACATCTGGCCTAGTACTGCTGCTCTATATTTAGAGATTATTGATAAAATCCAAAGGAGAATCTGTAATATCATTGGTCCTGACCTGGTATCTCGGTTTCAGTCATTTTTCCACCGCCGTAATGTAGCCTCCCTGCCCCCCCTTTTTTATAAATACTTTCATGACAATTGCTCTGATGAAATTTCCACTATGGTACCTTGACTTAATGAATTTCAGCTCAGTAATAGATTGGCGGCAAGGTCTGATCATTGTACAGTTAAATGCTTATCTCTAACTGTAAGTTCTATGTTAACAATGTCTTCTATAGCACTTATCGTCTGTGGAACTCTCTTCCGACTTCTTTCTTCCCAGTCAAGTTTGATCTTCTATAAATTTAAATGCAATGTCATCGTTATCTTTCTGTCTTCTTAATGTTTGTTCTTTTATTGTCCCCTCTCCATAATAATACTAAATTATTAAATATAGTAAATTTCTTATATTCTCTAACACTCAGTAACTTCTCTTTGCATGACTGTATTGCTTTGCTTGTAGTGAAATGATTTTAAAAAATGACTATGACGTTCATATATAGCAAAGCTCCCGCATATTTAGTCTTATTCATTGACAAGTGAACGTATGTACGTAGGTACTTGGGCAGGTAGTTTATTTTATTCGGTTTTAAACTATTTTGCAGCGTCATAGTTATTTGTGCGCATGCGTTATTCTCTTGGCGCATTCATACCAGTGTGAAGACGCATGCAAATTGAACGATATTTGAGATTTGAGGGAATTAGTCACGAAGAGATTTGTTTCTATATTCTTTCTTTTTCTCCACGATTTCTTGTTCCTAATAGCAAAGGATTATCTGCCATAATTCTTCTAAATTTTCTCAATCAGAAACTTAGTTGTATGAGTAGATGTGTCGAAAGGAGAAAACGAGAGATAATGAAAGAAAGATGATGGATATAAATTTAGCCATAGCAAAAATAGAGGAGTGAAATAGATAAAATGTACTCAGAGAAATAATTTGATAAAAAGAGAGAAGAGGTAGATAGATAGATAGATAGATAGATAGAGAGAGAGAGAGAGAGAGAGATATAGAAAGAAACTAGGGATGTGGAATTATAAAATAGAAGTAATGAAGAAACGGAAGAAGAAGTGTGGCGACTTTTAATGGAGCAAATCTTGGAAAAAAAAAAAACTAAAAAAAATGCGTAAAGTAGAATATCGGGTTTATGAAAATTTCAGACGAAGACGTAATGGTAATTTTAAAAAAAAGAAAAAGGTGTAATTTCACCGATGGAGTAAGTGAGACTGGGAAAAACACAAATGATGAAGAATAAAGGGAAGATAATTTCGTTAAAACTGATAGAAAGACTAATAGAAAAAAAAAGAAGAAAGAGGGAAAAAGACGACAAAAAAAAATGAAAGGAGATAATTTTATAAAAACGCAAAGACAGAAAAAAGACTAACAGAAAATAAAAGAGAATGCTATAAAAATATATAAAAAGAATGAAATGATAAAAATCAAAACTAAGGGAGATAATTCAGGAAGAAAAGAGAGAAGGTAGAACAAAAATAAGCAAAAAGACATCCGGAAATACTCAGTAGGAAGAAATAAAAATAACTCAAAGCTTCAAGAGCGAAATAAAAGAACAGTAGAAAATGAATAACGGTAGAAAAGTGTGTGTAAAGGTGGTAGCCAGAAGACGTAAAAGAGAAAAGAAAAATCTAAGTTAAAAAGATTAGTGACTGAAAAAGAAATGATAAGCGAATTAAATAATGAAAGAGAATATGGCGGCAATAAAAGATGATAAGCTTCAAAAGAGAGAAGTTGATAGGTCGCAGAAAACAATAAATATTAAAACTAGAATAAAAATAAATAAAAATAGACTTATACAGTCATACATCTATACGATTGAGTTAGTGAAGTTCCTTTTTTTATTACGGACTGATATACCGTTTGCTAGCGGTTAAGATAAGAATATAGTGAAAATCATTGAAGGTGAAAATTACCTTTAATTTAGTGGACTAAATTTTCGTTTGTACCTGGATTCAAACTATTCTCTCCTCCGACAAATTTTTCATTCCAGCACCTATAAGGGCGGCCACTGAAAAGTTCTCAGCCCGTACCACATCCACATGACATTGAAATACTGATTTTAGGATGAGCGGCCGACAGGGATTTTTTTTTTTTTTTTTTTTTGTTAAACCTTCGTATCAACAAACAAAACGTTCGTCCATATTTAGAATATTCCTGCCACATATGGCTCGGTGTTTCTGCTATTTCCCTTAAGCTCCTGGATAAAATCCCAAAAAGGAATCAATATTATTATTGGACTTGATCTAGAGGCTTGGCTTCAGTCTCTTTCCCAACGCCGCGAAGTTGTCTTTTTTTATCCTTTCCTATTAATACTTTCAGGGTGATTTTTTGAATGAGCTCTACGCTATGGTACCTAGACTTTTTGAATTTACGCGCAGTACTGGCTTTGTTAACACATCAATTTACAGTTGAACTGGCTAGATATAACCGTAAGTTCTATGCTAACAGTTTCTTTTCTCGCACACCTCACTTGTGGAATTCCCTGGTCTATGCTTGCCAGCCAATTTTAATCTGCAAAAATTTTAAAGCAATATCAATCGCTATCTATTCTCCTCTTGATTACTCTTTTCCTCTTCCTGCTCATTTTTAACCTTTTGAGCCCTGACCACCGCTTTACCGGTGGTAGAGAAGAACGACTTAATGCCCAGCCACAGTGGTAAAGAAAAAATGACTTAATGCCCAGTCAACGGTTGAACGATGAGTAATCCCTTGTAACTATTTTGATATCAACCGTGAAATATCACATAACCATTATTTGCGAAATTTAACTCATGAGCGCAGGCAGACTTGTTAAAATTGTTCAGGAATGCAGGGCTCAAGGAATTAATGTTTCTGTTCCTAATTCTTCCGCAGCCTGTAACCATTTGTCTTTTAGTGACTTTACTGACTTGCATGCGGTGATACCGTTTAAAAGATAGAAAACAAAAAAAATTCTTTTTTTATTTTATTTCATAGCATCATTATTAAGTCATCAAAGTGTTTTCCTCGCCATTTTATTGTCATGTCAGATCTTTTGTACCCATAATGGTGACCACCAAGCGTATAAACGACCAATATTTACCTCTTACTGAACGAAGTAAATACTTACAGTCTAAACTATAAACAATCAATATATTTCTCATATAATCATGTAACATCCTATAGATTCAAATAAACATGTTCAATGTTTACATATATATACGAAGACAGTAAATGCTCACAAAAAAACAAAAAAAAACATAATAATAATATTTTATAAATTCACGTAATGCTAAATATTTGCTTTGTATTTCCAGGTTACATCTGTTGAACTACATACCTCGCATTGTTAAAATTATTGCTATCAGCAAATATACACTACTAAGCTTTATGTGAAGTGGGATACAAATTATGTAACTGAAACCAACAGAATGATAGGATAAAGAAGAAATATGAAACGTTTATCAATCGAACATGTTTCACTTTTATTAAAGTTTCACCAGAGAATCAGATATGGAGAAAAAGAAGAAAAAATTCTGTTACTTTTATTTTTCTATTGTTTGATTTTCATTGGTTAATCAGGTTTCAAGGGAATTTGACTTTAATATAATTTTTAGCGTTCCTAATTCAAGGAAAGACGACGAACAAAAGTTTAACGGATTAGAAGCCTAATTGAAAAACCGTAAATATTGTTTTCCGTATGTCAGTGTATAATAATTCTATTTTGTCTATGTGGGATTCATGATAATGTATATTCGTAAATGTGTGTCTAGTAGATATTATGTTTGGTGGTTTTTCGCATGTTGATTTGGGATAGGTCTTACGTACACAGCGTTTGTTTTAGTTAAACATCCGTTATATTCTATAAGAATGGATTAAATAAAGGTTTGTGATGTAAGATAATGTTTTTGACCTATATTTATATTTGGTAAACTCTTTATTACGAATTCATCTAAGCACTTTCGTTGTAAAAAGAAGTTCTTTTTAAATTAAGGTGTCATTCGTAGAATCAAAGTTATGGCCAGTTTTGTTTAAAGGGTTGTCCAAACGCATATCCCTTTTATGTTCGAAAATACGAGCTTTTAGATTTCGAGATGTCTCACCGATATGTGCTTTTGCAGTATAAGAGATTTATTTATATGATAAGTACCGACAGCGGAACTGGTGTTGTATTTATTTTTCATCCTAATAATATCTCTGATCGTCTTGGATGAGATGGTAAATATCCTAGTATTAGTGATAAATAATTTATTCATAAATATTTTAGAAAGAGTGTTAGAGAGTAGAACTACGATTTTTGTTCTGCTGATGCTAGACGTCGTATCAGTGATATCTAGTTTATGTTTGCAACATAAACTGCAATCTTTAATTTGTATAACACTTTTTTAAAAGCACATTTCAATAAATATTTCATTTTTCTTATTTATTTTTATTCACGTTTTAAAACTATTTATAAGTAATGTTTCTGTCGTTAATATTTTTAATTTGTTATGTGTAATGTAAACTTTATAAGGTGCAGACTAGCCCGCGGAGGGGGCTGTGGGAATGTAGCAATTAGCATAGATAAATATTCTAACTAAATATCACAGATCGACAATGTTATGCGACTAGCAGCATTGATTTATTTTCTTTGTAGAGCTTACTAGTCTCCAATTACTGAGAGTTCCCTTCCTGATTTTCACTCCTCAATTGTTCTTTATTTCAAAATATTGGTATTATTTATATGGTATTATCATATGGTATATTATTTATATGGTATTATCATATGGTATATTATTTATATGGTATTATCAATATGGTATTATATTGGTATTATTTCAAAATATTGGTATTACCTTTTCCGATTGAGCAGGGAATCGCAGATTGAAATACGGTTTATTAAATTTATTTCCGGTAAGTCCAGTAGTACCAAAATATTGTATCGATTCTCGTATCCATCTGTTATCAGATGTTTTGGAACGGTTATATGAGATATGCGGCGTATCTCTGTGACGTCTCCTGTCGTCTGGTACAGAGTAGCGTTTCAATTTTCTCATCATAAAAAAGCTCATACCTCGATTTTCCAAAATTACCACCTGTGAACCACTTGCGAACAGTCATCTCATCTACTGCACCATCTCTATAAACGGCACAAATATATTTTGTTGTTGGCACAGCTTCTTATTCTTTATTGATAATAAAAGATGAGCATATAAAAAAAATGCATCTTATCTTCAGATATTTCCAGTTTTAACGATAAAAAAGGAAAATTAAAATTTACTACCCACACACAAATCATATAGAAAGAATATAAATATATATATATATATATATATATATATATATATATATATATATATATATGAAAATTTCTCTGATTTAACCAGTAGAGAAGACAATATTAATGAATAAAAATGACAACAGGAAAAATATACACAACAGATTCATAAAATCAAAAGAAAATGGTTGAATACATCAACACAGATATAATGACAATATTCTCCACACGTGACGTTATTTTTCAGTTAAAAATATGAAAATAGCGTTTCTTTACATTCCAGTTGCTAGGTACATTCTGTTTTTGTTTTTATTAGTTACTTTATTCAATTAATTTCATTTTCGTATTTTGCTTTGATAAAGTCCACATTGGACGAAACGCGTCAGCAATTACCAGTTTTCCTATTGTCATTTTTTTCTTCATAAATATATATATATATATATATATATATATATATATATATATATATATATAGAGAGAGAGAGAGAGAGAGAATATATATATATATATATATATATATATATATATATATATGTATGTATGTGTGTGTGTCTGTGTGTATTTATGTATGTCTAAAATGTTAGTTATGGGCAAAATGAAATCATGTGTTTAAACACCCCCTATTGAAAAACATTACCAAATTTTTGTTCCAATTCAGTGCATAGCGGCCATTCACTGTTTTGTTTATGACCAAGAACATTTCGTAATCCCTTCTTTCTTTATTAGTTTGTGAAAGGCTTCTTTCTCTATTCATTTACGCCTTCGTACCTCTGTCACAATTTACATCATTTGACATCCCCAATATGTGACTAGAAACTTGGACTCTCCCTTTTGTTGGCAACCTAAATGGCTTAATAATACCTTTTTTTATTCCATATCTGTGAACTTGCGTCAGAATAAATAGTTGAATAAATAATTATTAATCAGACATAAATAGCTCTGACCGAAATATTTTTCAAATTTTGATCCAAATGGTGTTCGAGCCCAATTCAAACATGATTTTAATGCTGATTCTTCAGAGAACTTACCAATTTCAAGGACTGGTGCTGCACAATCTTCCTATTTCAATTTCTTCTAATTTGTTACTGTGCAATACTAAGTTTTGTAAATCTAGAGAGAGACATAAAATGAAGAAAACAATAAATGATAGTTTAAGACGAATTTATTAGATTATCTCATTAAATGCGAGATTGAAAAAAAAAGAGAAAAAAAGAGAAACAAAATCCAAAGAGAATGCACAGAAACAAAATAAAGAAAGAGAAAAATATAGAGAGAAAATAGAGAATTAGCAATATAGGAAATAACTATTTTTAATATGTCGTGCTGCAAAGGAGATTGTGCAAGATGAATTTGGAATAGAAATGTGAGCATCTTTATTAAATTATTTCTCTTGCGGGTTACCATAGTCGTGAGAAACGCCCATCTGAATGTCTTCCTGTGCTTTATTAAAAGGAAGAGCGTTAAATGCGAAAACATAATTCTCAGAGTCGCATTTAGATTAAGAGTAATCACTGAGCACCAAAGGGGCTTAAAGATGGCATTTAAATAAAACGTTGTTTGCTGTATTAGGAAGAGAAACCATGCTCTAAGCTGATACTAGCCAGTCGCTAATGAATGCATTCATCTTTTGCCATTGTGCGTAGGGTTTGCAATTAAGTCGTAATATTCTGATATTTTTTTTCAAAATGGCCGACGTCGGCAGTTGACAGATTTTAAGTTTCTTCATAATTTTCATGCATATTTTTTTGTAATACATTTTCTGGCTTATGTTAATCTTTTCTCTTTCAACTTCTTCTTCTTCTCATTATTATTATTATTATTATTGTTAATTATTATTATTATTATTTCCTTGGATATCTGTTGTATACACATTTATTTCCGAGTTCCAACAAGATACTTAAGGTCAGAAATGGTTTCGTGGCATTTTCTAATATTCATATTTGTAAGAAAAACAAACCGTAAGATAACACACCTTTTACATAGACAAAGCTCTTCGTAATGTGTGGGCTGTACTTGTGAGCACGATTTTCTTTTGTATTTCTTTAAGTCTTGGTCTACCAGGAATCCTTTAGTGAGTTTATCGGAACTTTTTCTAATCAATTCCTCAAGTATTATATTTTAAAGTTTTCCACTTTAAGATCCTTGTAATTTTATAGTCTTTTGAAGATACATTACAATCTGCAGTGACTACCATGTCAATAAGAAAGCACATTCTATTTTTGTGCTCTTTAATCACGATGTCTGAACAATTAGATTTATTTTTGTCTTCCTGTGTGTATCATAAATTCTCATAAAAGTGTTATAGGTCCTATCACTTTAACCTGGTCTGGGTGATGTTCATATCAGTTTCTTCCAGATTACTTCCTACAAAAGTTCCATATTTTCCCGTGCAGATATTGGCCCATTCTATCATTCCGAGATTTATATTCAATAGGTGCTAACACCATGCAACCTAATACAGGATGTTTAAATGTTTCTGCACATTTATCACAGAATCTGCATTTCGGGTTAACACAATTTTTCAGTATGTGTGCTAGGTAATTTCTATTTAGCAATCATTGGTCCTGTGCAGCAAGAATAAAATTGATTTTGAACCTAAACTTAATCTTTAAACTCATTTCCTCAAAAAACGGTAACGAGTTGCTAAGAAATTATTTGATGTCTTTATTTATCATGGGAAACGCCAGCTTTCAAATTGAGTGCAATACCATGGTTTCAAAATCGACTGGCCTTATTCTTCAGATTTGAGCAACATTCAGAGAATTTCGAAATTAAATACTTTATTCAATCTACAGGGGTAAATATTTTTCCTTCCGCCATCGGTGAATTTGTGAATTCTGTAAAATTGTCAGCTCAATCGCTTGGACATGGAGGTTGGTTGTTTTTGTTTAGCGACATAATAACTTCCATGGGCTATTCAATGCCGAAATCTAAATATTTTGTACGCAATTTTATTTTATTATTTTTTTGAGATAATAATGAATTTAGTGATACAAGACTTACTAATTAACTCATAACTGTGTGAGAATTGGTGTATTCATACCATTCCAAAAAGTATTTGCGCGTTTGTGAATATAACGAACCCAAATGGAATTGGAACTCTACTCTTCGATTAACAATTTCGTCTATTTATCAAGTATACCAAACACACATCCAAGCTTACAGCACCTGATATTGACAAGCGGTCACCCATCATAGGTACTGATCAGACTTGACGTTGCTTTACGGGAACCGATGTTTCTAAGCGATGTGGGTCGGGTAGTACGGCTATGCTCAGTGGAAACAGGCAATAACTGAACGATTAGCCATATGGAATATCCCTAGTTAAGGACACTGGAATAAGAACATCTACCTTCGTCAATTGAATAAAGGGTTCAGTTGGAAATTCTGTGCAGTTTATCCGCATCAGTAGATGCCTGTAGCAGGTTGGTGTTACAATCTGTAAAGATGAGCATATAAGACATACTGTAAATAATGTAAATTAAGCTCTTTTCCCTTTTTGTTTTGTACTACGCAGTCGTTTCTTGAAGAAATTTGTGTCTACCGTAAACTGATATTAGAGAAATTGTAATTAAAACAATTTGAATAGTTTTGGTCGTTGTTTGTACCATTTACATAATCTTAATATATTAAAATTTATAATAATTGATATATTTTCCAATTGTCATATAAAATGTCTTACGTTCATTTATATATTGATTATTGTCGTCCACATAACATCGCTGTGATCGAAATCCTGAGGCCTTTCCAGAAAGAAAATGAATTTATTTGCAAAAGAAAGTAATTGTAAATATGCATAAAAAAAACTATCGATTATTTATAAAGACCACAGTGGGGATGAAAAAAAAAGGAAGAAACGAATTTAAAATCTAAATATGTAAATTTATTACGACATTAAAAAAATAGTTTCACTCTCATCGATGCGATAATACCACTATGACTCAAGTGGGTTATTGAAAGTGAAAGAAAATGAGATTTTCTTGAAGAATAAGAACAATAAAAGAACAGATTTACAGAAGACAGAAGATTGCGATTGGCGTTGAATTTAAAATTTTGAAGTGTATGATTGGTCGGGAAGAAAAAAAAACGGAGGCTATTTCCACAGGTGAGAAGTGTGAGAAAAGTATTATAAAAGAACTTATGGTAGCATCTAGCTCTTTCAACAGTAAAGCAGTTATACCTCTATCAATCAAGGAATAAAAAAAATCATGTCAGTTCTAAGTGACATATCCGCATTTATTTGCGTATTTAATATGCTAAACTCCATAGAGCCATCCGGTAAGCTATCACTCCTACTACAGAGAGAGAGAGAGAGAGAGAGAGAGACAGACAGACAGACAGACAGACAGACAGACAGACAAAAACAAAGAGACAGAGAGAGAGAGAGAGACAGACAGACAGACAGACAAACAGAGAGTGATCAGTATCAAGTCCTGAAAAACATGACTTCCCAAAAAGGTTTGGACCGAGGGAATGGATACATTGTTTGTTCATCTATTCGGTCATATCACAGTTTCTTTCAAGTTGACGATAAATAGCATTTAAATACTTTCTATTTGATGCAACAAGTGTACGTAATATGTGCATACATAGACAACCAACATTATATATTTAATTAATTTTTAGTACTTCGAGCAAACAGACGCATATACAGTCGTCTATATATTAGATTATTATTACGATTATATAGTTGTTTGTTTGTTTCGAGGTATATGAACTCCTTATGGGTCATTTAATGCCGAAATTTACTTTCTTGGGGGCATTAGTAATTTCTTTTTGCTGGTAATATTATTTTTATTTTAATTTTTTCACCAATATATCGTTCGTACTTTTTACTATGAAAATGGGCGGATGGTATTTTTACTATACAAATATATTTGTATACTTTCATAGTGTTTTAACTCACTTTGGGGTTTTAATTATTTGCCCATAGTTGGGATCCTTAAGAGTTGCTACCCCCCCCCACTCATGCTGGACCTGGAAACAACAGTAATTATGATGTTGTTTCACGCTCCTCAAAACCTCCCGTTCAGAGGCCATGTTGCTGGATATATATTTTATCGGCAAACCCATGTATTATAGTAAATAGGGACTGATTTTCCCCAATTACTCACTTTCTCAGCCATTATAGTATGCAGGAAACAAAATTTTATCAATATATTTGACAATATGAAACTGTATTGTAAATTTTATAAAGACATTAGTGCGGAGGAGAAAGGCTCCAGCGGGGAAATCGAACTCGTCTCCTTCATTAACATTCCTCCCCAACTCTGTGTTACATTTCATGTAATCAACTTGCCTCTCACCCAAATTCAGGTAGGCCTTGAAACCTGTCAGTCCAGAAGCACCTCGACATATCGAGGTCTTCTGTTAGTATATGTCGCGAGATTGTATACATCGACGACTTTCGAGGCATCTGGTATTGCCAAACGGTCACCCATTTGAGTTTTGAGCAGGCTCGACCTTGCTTAACCTCATTGATCAGAAGAGAAATGGTTGTGTAAGCCACACCACATAGGTAAGAAAAAAAATCCGATTGATAATATCTTAATAATAAACATGTGACTCGACACTAGTTTTATTTGAAGTCACCGAAAATTTAATATTACTAATATTTGCATATTATAAAAGTCATTAAGAACAACTTACTTGGCTAAGATATAAAACATGTACTGGGTGATATAAAATATACACTTTATTTTGTCGATGTAATTTTAATAAAAATCTATAGATTTTCAAAGTGGAGACACACACAAACCTTGAGATTTATATATTATTACATTTGAAAAATTTTATTTTAATCACGCTGCAAAGATTATATGCTCTTAAGTTAATGATATTAACTTCTGAGTTCGAGATAATTTTTTTAAAAAGTGCTACAAATAAACAGGATTGGAAGCTTCAAGTCTTAAGGTTTTTACGCTAAATTTAAATCCTATTATCAGAGAGACGAAAACATGGGCATTTCAAATGAACAGTTTTAAGGTCCCTTTTTGCGCAAATCGTTAATGTAATCACAGGAAAATACACAAAGACACAAACATTTTTGGAAGAAAAACGTTCAATTAGATTCATTTAGATTCTCTGCCTTTAACATAGCCAGTAATATAAACACGGAAGATAATAAAGTATAGGAACACACCGACGAGAACTAATGGTTAGTAAGCTTGTCTTAGTAGATCAGTTACGACTAAATAGTGACTGCAATCCTCACTGATTAACACATACTTTCGGTTTTGTACCACATTTAAGCTACGCTTACAAAAAAGGCCACTGCATTGTGGTGTAATGATTGGCAAGCTTTCTCCGTAGATCAGTTACGTCTGAATATTGAGTTCGATTCTGATTGGGTGCTTTATAATTTCCGCCTTGTGTGACGTCTAAGCTAAGCTTAGACAAAAAGACAGTTCGACATAGTGTAATAGTTAGCATGATTGCATCACTAGATCAATTACAACTAAATAGTGGTTTCGATCTGCACAGGGTCCCTCATGTGGCCTTGTGCCCCCACTAAATTAAGCTTACAAAAATAGTGCACTTCGAAGTGGTTTAATGGTTAGCAAGCTTGCATCGCTAGATTAATCACGACTGAATAGTGAGTTGGATCTTTACTGTGTACCTAGTAACCTCGTTTTTGTGTCACATCTGAGCTACAATTTCTAAAAAGGGCACCTTAACGTGGAGTAATAGTTAGCTATCCTGTCTCATTAGATTAATTACGAATGAGTAGTGAGTTCGATCCTAACTGGTTGTCCCATAATTTTATCATTGTATCACGTTTAAGCGCCGTTTGAAAAATCATTTTGGCATTTTGACGTAGTGTAATGGTATGGTTAACAAGGCTGTCTCGCTTTATCCATTACGATTGAATACTGAATTCGATCCTCATCTAAACTGCTTAGAAAAAACGAACTCTTCGCCTGCAATGGGGCTTTTTATCGCTTGATCAATTGAATAAATAAGCGACATCTAAACCATAATAAAAGTTTAATGTTGTTTGTAGAAATTCATAGAAAAAACGAATTATGATCCCGAATTTTGGTGACCATAAAATCATCAAGTAAACTTGCTGTTTCTGCTTTCCTTGCATGTCTTTTAAATTGTCCCCAAATTTAAACTCTTTCTATTTCTTTCATATTTTCCTAACATCTTTCTCGTAGCTCATATTTTCTGTTCAGGGTGAGTTTGATAATTTCGATGTAAAATTGTATTATAATTTCTGTAAATTGTATTATAGTGGCACAGTTTCAATAGCTGTCCGCCTTTTACGATATAAAACTTTGGGAATGTCTTGCATGTTTGTAAAATGTTTCAAGGTAAAACTGCAGTCTGCCTGTATTCTTCATAGTATCTGACACGCGTAAGACTAATGAACACTGCCAGGTAGGTAGAATAAGGTATCATATATATATATATATATATATATATATATATATATCATTCGCAGACAGTACTGTTTCGCAGTTCCTCAGTGCGACTAGACAACCGAATGCCTCTGGCCCGGATGGAAACCCAACCGATCTGGTGTCAGTCAGAGCAGCCACCACTGAGCCATCTTCACACGACAGAACGTGTCAGCCAAATCTAGCGTATTATTTTTACAAATGTAAACAAATGCCAAACAGACAAAGTGCTCCATTCATTTTACTGAAGAGCTTCATATTTACGCAGTTGACCGATGTTTTTAGAATTAACTTGTCATTCAACATTGCTCAATTGAAAATATATTTTAAAGAAGAGAGAGAGAGAGAGAGAGAGAGAGAGAATAAGAGAGAGAGAATAAGAGAGAGAGAGAATAAGAGAGAGAGAGCAGACAAGATACATTAATTTTTTGTATTCGAACAAGTGTTTTCTTTTCTGGACGCAGAGTGTGTAGAAACTGTTCAAATGTTCTGTAATTTCGAGCGCATTCGGCTATACTTTTAGCCATTATCAAAGATTAATTTATTTTAACTTTTTAACTGGATGTATGGGTTCTATGTATGTATATAGAATTATAGGTACGTTTTATTTTCTGAACACAGTCAGCACATTGTGGCCGTGTTCGTAGTTAATATTATTTAGTGCTGACTTTTTCTTTTTTATTATTAAGGCTTTCATTATTTTTATCTTTTTTTACATGTGGATGAGCTTATTATACTTGTATTTTCTTCAAGGATGGAGTCTGGTAGGTTTGTGTGTGTGTGTTTAAATGATTACCAATGGCGCTGTGGTCGGATAGGTGTAACGTAAGTCGTCTAGATAGGCATGCAGTAGTGTGATCGATGTAATTATTTAAGAGTTTGGTTTGATGAGGAAGACAGTTCCTTAATGTGCATTTGAACTCGTAATTAATGTTCGATTTTTGTTGTTTTGATTTTGCCCTTTAAGGAACTGTGTAATCGCAGTACCTTGTCTGTCGTCTTTAATGTAACAAATATAAAAAGGGGCTTGTTGCCTAAACACACACACACACATATATATAAATATATATATATATATATATATATATATATATATATATATATATATATATATATATATATATATATATGATCATTATGTATCTCCAACGATTCACTAAATAATGAGCATAAAAGATGAAAAAGTGCCCAAAACTAAATAAAAAAAGGTTGTGTCGTCAAAATTTTTGTGTTATTATTAAGAGGAAAGACGAAATAATTTTTGTTTGGAAAATTATATATTTAATGCTTTCAAGAACTTTCAAAATGTAGGTTAACTTTTTTTTCTTGTGTCAGCGTGTGTCTATAAGTATGGGAAATTTTACTGTTTTTGCAGTGAAAAAAAAAACATTGATTTGGAAAATCTTGCAAAAATCAAAAATCTTTGTTGTTATATTCAAAACGATTCGGCTGTTTTATTTTTGTTGTCTTTTTCAGATATTTGTCATACTCAGTATACATCACCGGATTTTGAAGCATCTCCAAAAACCATATCGGGTTGTCGATTAATGCATTGATTAAACGTCTTGGTTATTGCTAGTCATGAGTTCAGTGCCTGGATCAGGTTGGGAGGTAAATAATTTTACTCTTATTCTGTTGAATAAATGAACAGGCATGATAAAGTCGTGCAGATTGGGGAATATTTTCTGAGGTATCCTATAAGCGTGGATACCAAAATGAGAACGATATATCCCCGTTGATGGAATAAAGTGTTACCTTCAAAGTTCTAGGGAGGTGACCGAGCATAGCAGAGAGTTGAAGGAGACCGGAGTTTAAAGCATCCGAGACGTTGTAGTACAACAATGAAGATCAGTATAGCATCCCAAACTGAAATAGAAATGATAAAACCACAACTATATAGTGTTTTTTTTAAGCACCCAGTGAAGTTCGTACTCACTACTTAATCGTAATTGGTCTAGCAAGCCAATCTTTCTATTAAAATCTAGTCGGGAAGACCATAGAGATTTTTTACAAGGCCGAAATTATGGTGCCCCCAGTGAGAATCGAACTCATGACACTGACACAGCGAGCCAATCTTAGTAACTATTACAC